TGCCAGATGATCCTTTATATATCACAGTGACTAGCATTCTGTACACAATGAAACATAAGACTATTTGATGTTCATTTTTCGTAATAGCATTCAGTTTATTTAAAACTGTGCACCTTCAATGTTTGTAATATTTTGGATATTTTGCCTTAGAAAGGATAAATGAGAAGATTTATTGTTAAAGAGGGTTGGGTTGTCACTCTGAATCTTATTCATTGCAACCATATTTACAATAACAAAAGAATTTGTTTATATACACATTACATAGAAGAGATCTGTTTTTTTATGAATAATTGTATAAGTTACTAACACAAACATTTTGGATGGATGTATATTTGAATCTAAATTTGGTACAAATGTAGTACGTTTTATTACATATTGAAGGAATTTGATATCTCAAAATTGAATAAATCTTAATAAGCTTTTCACATCCCGCCGCATTGCATGAGTAGATAACTTGTGTGTGTGTGTGTATATATATATATATATATATATATATTATCAACACACTAATACCATCTCCACCGTCTGTGTATGCGACCAATACCATCTCCACCGTCTGTGTATGCGCTGGAAATAAAGAGGACCCTCACCTGCAAATGAAGACCCCCTCACCACTAGGGCTCTCAATGTGCAAGCATAACTGATACTCGTTATATCTTGACCCGTTGAATAAAGGTATAGATAAAGAAAATTTTATCTATTTACCCAAAATTTAAGAGAATAAAGTATGGATAAACGGTTTTTCGTTATCCATTACCCGTTACTATTACAAAATAATATCTATATCTATATATGTATGTATAATTATATAAAATTAGACTAGGAATCACGTGAGACCAGCCTGTTTTTGGGAGATCCCTGAGACCACTTTTTTACACTTGGTAACCTTCACAGTATTTTTGCTGTGAAGGTTCGGATTTTTTTTTTACCTTCACAGCGTTTTGCTGTAAAGTTTCAAGTGTAAAAAAGTGATTTCACTGGTCTCACCGAAAACAACCTGATCTCATATGAACCCAACCCTATAAAGTTATATATATATATATATATATATATATATATATATATATACATACTTGGGATCATGTGAGACCAGCCTGTTTTCGTGAGACCCGTG